TGGGTGAGTGAGTAAGACGTCCCCCGCCGTGCCGTACACAGCGGTGCGTACGGGCGTACGGTTACAGTCTGACAAAGTATTATATAACCTTGATGCACTTTTATCGGCGATAAAACCAAGCCCCGGCGGCCCATAATGCCGTCATTATGCGGCGTCAGACTGAGCACGAACACACATGCGCTCGCACACACACACAAACACGCGCGCGCACACACACACACATACACACACAAGCACGCCCATAACGCCTATTACACCCAGACGTGCGCCACGCCACACACTGCTTTGTGCCTTACATAATCCCGCCTGGAGCTTCTCCTCCTTCTTGTTGTTGGTGCGTAGCGGCAGTGTCACCCCGGGGAGCGCGCGCGCGCTCACACCCACAAACACACACACCCACACACACAGACACACACACACAACGGGGAGCGCTGGCGCGGCCGAGTCCTGCGCGACATACCCGCATGTGCACATGTCCTACCCGCCAGGCGCACCGAGTCTCGCCCGACGGTGCACGCAAACAAGTTTATTTTGTTAATTTCCGTGGTGTCGCCGTCGTGGTGGCGAGACGCAGCAGGGGCCGAAATGAGCTGGCCACCCAGCGGCGCGGCGCGGGCACCTCCACTGCTGCCTGTAAGCCCCCACCCCGCGCTGGAAAGAGAAACAAAATAAGGAGGGGAAAGAAAAATGACCTGTCCCGCTCAGCTTTGGCTCCACGCCACTGGCGCTGCCCCGCCTGCCGAGCCTATGAGCGCGAGCGCGGGAGGTTTGAAAAGTAAAACTGTTTGTTCCGGCTAGAACTGCGTGCCGATACGGCTGGAAACAGGCCGCCGCGGCGGCAGCACCACCGACGCTCATAAATCCACAAATCGCGCCGACAAACTCCCACTCGCACCCCGTCTATTTCTATCTCTATCCCCCTCACTAGCCGCGCGGCGGGCTGCGCGAGGATTCATACAGTGCTTGGGCTGAGGAGGGGGAGGCCCCGCCTCGCACAATCAAGGACACAACCATGGCAGTAGAGTCTGAGGCCGTTAATACACAGCACAGCGCCCTGCCCCCACCTTGCCAAGGCTGCCGACCCACCACATCCCGTTTTCCTCCACCACCCGGCCGCTCACAGTGAATTATTTCCATTAATGGCAAACTCACGCGCCGCCCGCATTCTCAGCAATCAAATCCACCGCGGTGACGCCCCGCCTCGCCCCGCCCCGCCCC